AATGGGGAACAAAGGAATTTAATTGAAATCTAGTGATGAAACCTGACTGCTGTTGCAAGTCCTGTTTATTGACGGGGTATTAAGGCAATTTACATATTCAGCAGATTCAAATGGAAGTATTTTTTCCCTTTCAAATTGTCCCTTTGGAGATAATGGGGGTAGTGGCAGAGTGTGATTAAACACTTCTTTAAAAGAAAACAAGCAATTCTCATAAGTGTCAGAGAGGAAAAAAGTGATGACTCCTTTCTGAAACATTAAATTAGCCTCTTTTTTGTTTTAATCCTGATACCCTCATAGGTGTTCCTGTGGAAGAAATCTGTGACCTCTAATCCCATAGGTTTCTCTTACATTGGAATGTGTACAATTTTGATAAATATACACAAAAGTCTTAAGAACTTATTCTGCATCCAGATGTTCTTGTTACATATATTTTGTGATGTAAGGTTTTCAAATCTAAACTTCCCAACTTTAAGATCTTTTTTGAAAAGTAACTACTTTTCTTTTTTTAAATGAAATGGATGGTGAACTCTGAAAAGAGTTGCTAAAAGTGAGTGGACCTTGTGAATCTGTTTCCAGAGAAATTAATGCGGATTTTTTTTTTGTAACTACAGTTCTGGAAACATTTCTTTTTATGTAATGTCATGTAATTGATTTGCCTTTCAAGACACTAACATATGATTCTGGATAAACCTAGAAGAAAGTATTGACTGAAATCCTGAAGCAATACAATAGCCAACATCTTTGTAATAACCTAGAACTATCTTTCTTATCCTTGCCAACTTTAAAATGTGCGGACTTCAACTCCCAGAATCCCCTGTTGAAGTCACCATATATTAAAAGTTGCCAAGGCTAAAAAATGTTGCTTTACCAGAGTCTCCTGGCTACTGCTGTCACTGCTTTTCCAAGAAGACCCCTAACCTACACATCTGTTAGGTCTCCTGCATGTGCAGGGGTTGGGCTAGAACAGGGGTCCCCAACCCCCAGTCCGTGAACCACTACTAGGCCGCGGCATGCCAGCAACTGGTCCACACAAACAAGCAAAGCCCCATCAGCAGGATGCAGGCAGCACACAAAACCACGCACTCTCCGGAACAGGTCCCTGGTGCCCAAAAGGTTGGGGACCTCTGGACTAGAAGATTCCAAGGTCCCTTCCAACACTGTTATTCTGTCATAACTTGAGATAGATTTCCTCAGACAATTTCTGTTTTCTGGTATGAAATGAAGATTTAGGTTTTAAGTCACAAATAATCTAGGAGGTATCTTTTCCTAATAAACCTGATTTGATATTATGCTTTTTAATGAAAGTTCAATGGCTTCCTGTATCAACTGAAACAAACAATATAACCTCCTAACACTTTTAGTACTATATAGTTAAAATTTTCTATACCACTTGGGAGAGCTTCTTTGAATGCTTTCCTTACTCTTTGCCTTCTGTAGCTTATTGTCTAATGAAATGTTGTGGGGAATTCTTTTTTTTTTTTTTAATACTCTNGTTTCGATAGACCATCATGACTATCATGTGTTTTATATGTTCAGAAGGTTGCATATCCAAAATGCAATAAAAAGTTTTATTTAATAAAATAGTTTCATACAATTATCCTAATCAACATTAGGTTTTGTAACCAAGGGGTTTCAAATTATTTAAGGAACTAATGGGATAGATTTCAGCTTTGCTATGAAAAAATTTTCATTGTCCTTCTGTGTCTCCATACAGTCCTTCTTAAAGATATACAATTACAATTATTTATTCTAAGTAAAGTATACACTGTTGATAAAAGCTTTGTGCTCAGTGGGAGAAAAACAGCTCTTCAAGCAACTTTTATTTATTTCCCTACGAGATTGTCCTACAAAATCATTTTTAATCATAGGATTAGGAAAGCATGAAGGGGAATTTTGCCATTCATCAGTTCCTTGAAAATAATTAGCATTTCCTCCTTCTTTCTGTTGGCAACATTCTTTTGGATATTTATTGTTTAAATATCCATGTTGACAGAACAAAAAATATTCAACAACAAAGGATAAAAACACAGCTGATTATTGTGTTCATTTAATCCTTTTGACAAATATGTGGAGCAGTATGGATATAATTGACCTTCTCCAATTTCATTATTAATAGAATCTAGAACACAGAGGGCTTTTTACAGGGATCTGCTAAGATCTCTTGTTGGTTCTACAGTGTTTCCTTCCTTTCCTTCCTGTTTGCTTTTATTTTATTTTTATTTTTCTATCTTCCTTCTTTTTAGCCAGAAATGTTACCCAAACCAAAATTGGACTTGTAAACATCATAAATTAACTTTAAACAATATCCTAACTAACAATACTGAGATCATGGACAATATGATAAATGACACAATACAATTGCATTTGAATGGTTGTTGGGAACTTTTACTCCCCATAAAAAGATTTGTAAAAGACATTATTTCAAAAAATAAAAACATCAGATTAAGAGGTCCACATGAAATGATGATAAGAATAATCTATCTAGGAAATGTAACAAAAAAACCAGTTTCAATTCATTTTTTAAATAAAAGGCATATAATTTTTGTTGCACATGTATTTAGTAAATGTTTTCATCATTATTACAATTTATTGAATATCAACAGCAAAAATACACATATAACCAAAATTACATAAGCTGTCAAGTACCCTGAAGAAAGTGTCCAAAATACATTTTAAGGCATCTCAATCTGATTGATTGTCATACTTCAGGTTTTGCCAATCCTGAGCCTTTCATATATATGTTGAACCAAGACTCCTATTGTGTAGCCATTATGCTAGATCCTAATTGGGATTAGTGGAATCCATACTTCTTCCTTCCTATGTAGAGGAGTCTAGATTGAAAAAGACAGCATATAAGCAATGTTATATGTTTTACTGGTGTAGGCTTTCATAGCCAGTATCTTTGGGTTATGTTGAGCTTCTGGTTTAGTGGCTGTGGTCTATACAACAGAATTTCTTGACATTTCTTGAAGGTGCCAGCCACAATCACTGGTGAAAGATCGAGAAATCTGATATATAGATCACAGTTACTAGACCCTGAAGCTCAACACTGCCCAATGTTACATGTTGTTTCCAAAAGCAACATGTTAAGAAAAAAATAAGTATTTAAAAGATGGGAAGAGAAGGGTAGGGTAGGGAAGGGAAAACCATTCTAGAAATGAATTTCCAGATAAGGACATAATTTTACAGACAGTTGAAAATAAATCATTTCAAAACAAGTCAATAAATAATACCAGAAAAACAACTCTGCAGACGTTTTAGACAGGAACTGTGTGCTTGTCTATTTGATCAAATACATTTATCCTCAAACAACTTTGTTCTCAGATTATGGGTATTCTTCCTGCTTGTTAGCTTCGCTTTGGTATTAGCATGTAGAATATGTAGCAGAAGTCCTCACATTTACCATATCTCATTAATAGTGAATCTCATAGTGAATCTCTCTTTTTTTTTTCTTTCAGTTAAAAAAAACCAAATAGCTAAAACCATAAATCAGGGCAATATGGAAAGCTGTTTTTATTTGCTACTATAGTGAAACAATAAATGTTTGTTAATCAGAAAATTCCACATGTATACAAAGCTAGTAAGTATAATCACTCTCTTCTTGGTTTCTATGGCATTTCTCTCTCCCAGGCATTGCACAGTTTATCTCCACTGTCATTTGGATTAATTTGTTTTAAGTACTTAGAATATAAATGAACATTCATGACAACACAGCAGCTTAGGTAGCAACTATGGGTGCCAACAAATAGAAGCAAATCAACCTCTTGAAGAGGGAAGTATCAAAACAGCAGGGAGTTTAGCTTTTCTATCAGTCATGCTGAAAAACTGTGTGCTCTACATCATTATTCCACCAATGGATTTATTTTAGACACTGTCTTCTAGTCCAGAGCTTCACATCAAGCCTCAAATTATATTTTTCATTTCAAGACTGAGCATAACCATTTGTCACCTTTATTTGCTATTTGTTTATTCAATTTGTACAGCTGCTCATCTCATTTAGTGACTCTGGGTGACTTACAACAGCTAAAACAATAATCCAATAAAAAACAAGTTAAAAACCAATATACATACATATAATCTGATACATACATATAAAACATTGATAACCTCAAATAACCATGGTCAATAGCCAAAGTCCACTCTGAAAAGTCCACTTTTAGAAATCCATTATAAAAACTCCCAACCATTGCCAGACTCTCAAGTATGGTGGCAGAGCTATGTCTGTTTCCTCTCATTTTTCATGACTTGCAGTAGAAATGTATTTCACCATTAATTTAGGGCAGTCTACTATGATGTGCACAGAGCAAGTTATGGAGCAGGCCTGTTTCCCAACAACTCTCTGATCCTTACTTGTTAGATTCTCACTATCCAATCAAATATTTTTTTCACTATCCAATCAAACTTTTTTTTCAGCTAGTGATACCAGTCTGAATCTGATGAGCAGAAAAGCTACTGAGCATGATGTTTTTGTTGTGATCCTTACTCAGTGCCTCTATCTCTGATGTATTAGGAGAAATCATAAGAGTTGGGTCATTCAAATCTCAAGCCTCATTAGTTCTGAGTACTGTACAAGCAAGCATCCCCAGTGCTGAGATATTGGCTCAAGATAATAGAAATCTTACTTCTTTTCTATATTCCCCATTTAATCAATGCTTAACAACAATACTTAGCAATATCCAGAACTTTAAATAATAGTTTGTCTGTTATCCACAAAACCATGTTCTGACTCAAAAGATCCTTGAGCTTATTTTTTTTTTCCAGGATCTTCAATTTTTTTTGCCAAAGAAGAATTCTTACTTGTTGGTTATTCATTTCTGGTTTTCCTTACTAGATGGAACTTTGACAAAAAACAATACACCTCACCAAAAGCAAACATGCTTAGCTAACCATCAAGGAAATGGAAGAGCATCCTCTATTTACCTCTGACAGCTCCACCTTGTTAGTTGGATGGAAAAATAGCCCAAATCTCCCACTATATAAGAGTTTAAGAGTTCAGATGATTTTGTCCTACTGGTCAGAGGCTGGCTGCACACATTGTTACCAAGCTCCATTCAAGATGGGGTTTGGTAGAGGACCCAGGATACCATTATGGGTTGTAATTCTAGTGATCTGCTGTATCCAACAGAAAGGTAAAAACTCTAATTTTGTTATGGTATATTTGGAAAAAAAATAGCAATTAAATATATAATAAATTGATTTTGAAAATCACAATTCATTTGATTTGAAAATTAAATGGATTTTTCCATTTCAACAAGTTCCTTTCCCCAACAGTTAGTACTGTTTAAAGTAAATATTTAATGTATCTTCATTGAAGGAAGCCTTTTAATTTGATGTAGCCTGAAGTAAAAAAAATGCTTAACAACATGTCTATGAAGAAGGCTTTGAAGATTAAATCTAATCTTATAAAAGTATAACTCTCTCCAAAAGTTATTTCATCCTGAATACAAGTTTCTTATCAAAATAATTAGCTTGTATTGATGAAGTTTACTCTATGTCTTGTGTTTAGAATCCTTTCAGAAGAAAGACTTTTTAAGTTATTCCAGCGCCTTCTTTAATTTGTAAAGCCTATATAGAACTTGGAAATTTAATATTCAGAGAAAAATAACAATACCCCTTTTGAACTATACTACTTATTTGAAGAGATTGAAATGAGTGAGGCATTTTTGGCCTAAGAAGAATATCTTGAACTATTTCATTTTTAAATAAAATATTAAATCTTGCAGTCTATAACTAACCTTCAAAAGAACAATAACAGTTAAGAGCTTCCCTTTATAGACAATAAGCTTGTGCAGTTTGGTAGACATGAGTGTATATTCTGTATATGTTGGTTGCTGTTTTTAAGTAGATTAAGTCTCTTACCAAAACTTGAATATTGTTGAGACAGAAAAAGTTATTCATTCTTCTTAACTATATAAATGGAGAGATGGAATGAGACTCAGTTGTTCAGACACCCATGTCTTTGCATCTGACTTCATTTTTTTCCTGGATTACAAAATCTGGATAGCCACCAGATAGGAACAAAGAGTCAGTTTTCTGTATTTTTTTTGCACTCATATAAAGATATGACATACAACCCCTTTAATAGCAAATGAATGGGAATCCAATTTTTTATTTGAATTTAGACTAAATGTTTTCCATTTTGCTGTTTTTCAAAGACCAATATGGTTTCATCTCATTGAAGAACCATTAAGGATACCTGTTCTACTGCATCCTGTGATGCATCTGATAGTTATTGCACCTCTCCTGAATTGAAACACATATCCTGTTATACCATACCATCAATTTATAAGCCCTTTGAATATATAGGATAGAAATGAAGAAATTATTCATTTCAATCAACTCCACTGATTGTAATTAATCTCTAACTTTAATCCCTCATTCTACCAGTTGCGGTGCTCAAAAATATCATTTTTTCCCATTCAGACAAACAAGATTATTACAGATATAACTCTTGTTACATTATGTCCATATAAAATATTTCTTCATTTTAATTAGATGTTATACTGTATCAATTGTTGGTGGATCTCAAGAATCTCTGCAATCTTTTCAAATGTCCTATTTTTCTACATTTTATGTGGAACTTTCTCCCGCAGATAGTTTCCACATAACTATATGGGGAGTCACTAAAATTGGGTCTAGAAAGTCAATATGTCTTGAGGGTACATGATGAAGGAATGGGGCAGAGACGAGCAAATGAGAGGTGGGTCTTGACATCCCTTTGTGTGAATATCTGACCACCTGTATCAAAACCAATGAAATTTATCATTAAATCCTCAATAAAAAAGATACGTTCAATTTTATCAGGAAAACAAAAGAGGCACAGACTGAATTTATTTATGGAAATAAAAAAGGGGAAAACAATGAAAAATTCAAGCTCTGCTCATTTGTATCACATAATTTTATCCATTGTTTCACCCACTGAGGCCCTTGTTTGACTGCTTCTGCTGTGTATGTGTGCACAAATAAGCAAATGTTCTTCTTTTCTCTGCAGCTTCAAGTTCAGAAGATGTACCTGAAAGAGTCACCATCCTCCCACCATTGAAAACAATGCCTGTTATATCATGTAAGTGTCTAAAATGAAATCTTCTTGTATTTATGAGATTTAGTCATGAAGCCAACAATATTAATAAAGCATCTGATACAGATAGTCCTTGACTTATGGCCACAACTGAACCTAAAATTCATGTTGCTATGTGAGAAATTTTTTAAGTCAGTTTTGCCCAATTTTACAACCTTTCTTGCCAAGCTTGTTAAGTGAATCACTGTGGTTGTTAAATTAATAACACGGTTGTTAAATGAATCTGGTTTCCCCATTGACTTTGCTTATCAAAAGATTGCAAAAGGTGATCACATGACCCTTGGATACTGCAACTGTCATAAACGTGAGTCAGTTGCCAAGCATCGGAATTTTGATCATGTGGCCATGGGGTCATAAGTGTGAAAAATGGTCATAAGTCACTTTCTTTCAGTGCCATTGTAACTTCAAACGGTCTCTAAATGAACTGTTGTAAGTCAAGGACTACCTGTACACAGATTGGTGGATAATTCAGCAGATATGTAACATCAAATATTGCAACAGATTTGGAAAGAATTCCATAAATCATCATGTCTGGCAGCTATTCTTAGAAATTTTAGTAACAGTTTAAATGATTTTATTTGATCAAGGGTTTTATTTTTGTTGTATTGCTGCTGATTTTACATTCTGAATTTTACCATATCCATATTATTCCATTTGCTGCTAGGCTTTTTTATTCTGCTTTTTATCTAACTGGATTTGGGCTTGGGGATTATTGTATCAGTACCACTTTATAAATCCTTAGTAAGACTACTTCTGGAACACTGCATCCAGTTTTGGTCACCACAAAAAAAATGTGGAGACTTTGGAAAACGTACAAAGAAGAGCAACTAAGATTATTAAAGGCCTGGATGCAAAAACATGGTTGCAGGATTTGGGAATGACTAGTCTGAAGAAGAGAAGGACGAGGGGTGATATGATAGCAGGATTTCAGTATTTGAGGGGCTGCCACAAAGAAGAGGGGGTCAACTTATTTTCCAAAGCTCCAGAAGGCAAGACAAGAAACAATGGATGGAAACTAATCAAGGAGAGAAGCAACCTAGAATTAAGGAGAAACTTAACAATTAACCAGTGGAACAGCTGGACTTCAGAAGTTGTAGGTGCTTCATCACTGGAGGTTTTTAAGAAAAGACTGGACAGCCACCTGTCTGAAATGGTATAGGGTCTCCTGCTTAAGCAGTGGGTTGGACTTCCAATGTCCCTTCCAGCTCTATTATGCTCTTATTTCCACAATAGTAATCTGCTGAGTTGTATTTACAGACCTTTGCAACCAGTTTTAAATCTGTCATGATGCCTGTTGTAGTCTGCTAAAGGCACAAGACTTCTTTTACTAATGCTGAGCTTGTTTGTTTGCACGTTAGCAAACTCATGTTACTAAGTGTCTAATTATGGTTTACTGCAGTTGATACACAGGAATGAAGCAGTAATTTTAATCCTGTGGATTTGCTTCCTGATTGTTCCACAATTACTCAGCTTCCTCCAGGCTAGTTTTCCTCTAGAAGAGCTTTCTCCACCATGATAGCAGATATGTTAGTCTTCATCGCACTTGGGAGGACATTAGAGTAGGGGACCCTGGCCTAGGGAAAATCCAGAACTGTTATTATTCCATTTCTAAGTCAAGAACATTAAAAAAGGAATCAGCTGAGCAAAAGTGGAGAAGGATCCAAATGTTGCAAAGTTCTTCCCTGTCTAAATGTTTGTGCTCTGTGCCTCCCTAGCTATCTATTTATCCGCCCCAAACAACATGTAATAATGGTGGAAGGTATATGTATTAATTCTTTACGTCCTCTTGGGATTTCACAGCCTTCCACTCAGCTCATAATGGACGAGTCTGCAGCACATGGGGTACCTTTCACTTCAAGACATTTGATGGTGACATCTATAATTTTCCTGGGGTCTGCAATTACATATTTGCTTCCCATTGCAATGCACCATTTGAGGACTTCAACATACAAATTAGACACCAAAGAGTTGGGAACACCTCTACTATTAGCTATGTCACCATGAGGCTGGATGGAACAGATTTTAAAATAGAAAAGGATCAAATTTTGGTAAATGGCAAACGGTAAGTCCTTACTTCTGCATGCTGAATAATTTTATTTTGTGGAGATTCTCATCTAGAATTCACAACATACTCTGAATTTTGTATTTCTCAAAATTTTCATGTAGAAGTATAGACTACAGACATAGGCATCCACAAGAGAGGGATAAGAGAAGGGAAATCATGCATTATGACATAAACTCAGCCTTTACCTATCTGCATACAACACTAGACCATAAATACAAAAGGGCAGAGAATGGATTGTGATAACACATATGCACATTCCGTCACCATTAGGTTAATATTGACTACTGTGACCAAACGTACCTGAAGATGCAGATGTTTGTAATGTCAAAACACTTGCAAATGAGTGTAAGGTTTGAGGACATCCTAGGTGGCATTATCTCAAACATGTATGATGAAGATAAGTTAGATTTTTTGGATCAGGTTCTGTTACTTCTAACTTTTGGAACACAAGGAAAGAAACAAGCAGAATACCATGATAAGAAGTTATGTACAGTATACATGTGGAAGAAAAGAAGTCCAAATACTTATGCCATCTCATTAGATTACCTTTTTGTCTGTTGTAGGTTTAAATATAGGAAGGGTTGTACTGAGGTGAGTTGATAGCTATGTCACCAAAGAATCTGAAGCGGCTATATAATGGTTAGAAGAAATTATCCATCTGAAACTGCTCTTCTAGCCAATAGGAGAGGGCAAGAAAAAATTACTGTAGTTTTGGATTTGGAAAAGAATAGGAAGTTTCATTTAGGTTTTATATATTTGCTATCTCTTTAAATTCACCTTCACCAATATAGATCCCTGCTCATTGGTCATGCTGATTGAAACTGATTGTTGGAACATTCAAAGAACCCTACACTGGGAGTAGCTTGCCTATAGGCATATCTGTATTTACACTTTAAGATGCTTGTGTCCAGTAAGATGTGTCCAGTGTCTAATGGTCATACAGACTTGGCTTTAAGCCAATTTATCCATACTGAGACACCTGGGCAACAGGTTGCAAGGTATTCATGCTAGACTGCAAACTCTATGACCTTCCAACTGGACAGTTCCCCACCACCACCTTTCTTTTTTGAGAAAACAATTGTCAATCTCCTTTTTTCATGTGGACAGCCTTACAAGAGGTATATACAGTACGTGCAGTGGTGGGATTCAAATATGTGAACAACTGGTTCTCTGTGTGGATGCCGCTTCCGGAAGTCCATTCTGGGCCTGTGCAACAAAAAATTAGCTACCGGTTCTGCTGACGTGGTGTGAACTGGCTGAATCCCACCACTGAGTGTGTGTGTGTGTGTGTGTGTGTGT